CAATCCCTGGTACCAAACAAACAAACAAAAAACCAAAGAAAAGAAAAGAAAGGAAAAAAAATTTGGTACCAGAAGAGACCCAGAATAGCAAAGGCAATTTTGAGCAACAAAGGCAAGAGAGGGGGCATCAAAATCCTTGACTTGAAATGATAGTACAAAGCTACTGTGATAAAAACAGTATGGTTCTCACAAAAAACCCAGACCTGAGGACCAGTGTAATAGACAAGAAGATGCAGAAACAACTCCAAACACACTCAGCCATCTTATCTTTGACAAAGGAGCCAAACATCTTCACTGGAAAAGACAGCCTCTTTAAAAAAATGGTCCTGGAAAAAAATGGCTTTCCACATGCCAAAGATTAATACTAGACCCATATCTTTCACCATGCACCAAATTAAAATCAAAATGGATCAAAGATCTAAATATTAAAACAGTAACACAAACTAAATCTGATGGAAGATAGACTAGATAGAGCTCTTTATTTTATTTTTTGGTACCAGGGATCGAACTCGGGTCCTTGCACTAGCAAGGCAGGTGGCAGAACCACTGAGCTAAATCCCTGATAGAGCTCTTGGAGACAATAATGTAGGTAAAGATTTTACAAACAGAACCCCATTCACACAGGAACTATCACAAACAATCAACAACTGAGGTCTCATCTTATTGAAAAGGTTTTGCCCAGCAAAATAAACTACCAACAGAGTGAAAAGACAACCCATAGGATTGGAAAAAATATTTGCCAGCTGTTCCTCAGGCAAAGGACTAATATGTAGAATATATAAAGAAGTAAAAAAATCAGACCCCAAATTTAAAGACCCAATCCAAAAAAGAGCATCTGAAATGAATAGACACTTCCCAGATGAAGAAGTAGAAATGGTAAATATACAAAAAACTCTTCAACATTACTGGTCATTGAGAGATGCAAATTAAAACAACACTGAGATTCCATCTCACCCCAGAAAGAATTGATTATCAAGAAATCAGTACTGGGGATTTAGCTCAGTTGTGCTGCTGCCTGCCTCACCAGCACAAGGTCCCAAGTTTGATCCCTGGTACCCTGCCCAAAATAAAACAAAACAAAAAACAAACCAATCAACCAAAAAACAAAAAACTCCCAAAAACAAACAAAAAGGAAATCAACCCATAACAAATGCTGGATGGGCTGTGGGGGAAAAGGAACCCTTCTTCATTGTTGGTGGGAGCGTAGACTGGTGCAACCACTGTGGAAATCAGTGTGGAGAATCCCACAAAATCTAAAATTAGAGGTTCTATTTGACCCAGCTATTCCTCTTCTTGGTATTTTCCTCAAAGAAATAAAAGTATCAGCCAGGGATTTAGCTCAGTGGCACCACACCTGCCTTGCAAGTGCAAGGTCCTGAGTTCAGTCCCAGATTAAAAAAAAAAAAAAAAAAAA